TGCAGGTAGTCCTCTCTGGTAGGAAAAATATATTGTGCTGTGTGTGTTTTAGGGGGGACCTTTTTATCCATTTTCTTATAAGGTGTATGCTATCTTAAATTTCATTTAATGTGCTATATGGAATCCAGATTGCATTTAATTATTTGGATTGTGAGTGTGTATTAATGCAGATCAAGCACTGAACCTCCACTGTGGTGAGAATTTGCATTTGAAAATATCGAGGCAAAACAACTTTCAGTCTACATAGAGAGCATCATTTTAAGCAATAGCTTAAGGGAGAGGAAATTCTAAGAAGTCACTGAAATATTCCCATACATTATGTTGGGGGGGTGTAGTACATACAAAACCACCACAGTGTTGCTGTGTGTCTATAGTATGTAATACTAAGCTTTGTGTTTAGATGATCATAATTGGAAGGACTTACAGCTCAAGCAAGTTCTCTGATGTTTATACAATATCCTTTTAATTTATTACTTCTTTTTACCTAAGGGTAATCTTCTGCCTTGAGAAGTAACTTTCCTCTGATTATGTTGGAAAGTTTAGATACAGCTCCAGGCTATGGCCCTGCTTTTCTTCTTCTTCTTTTTTTTTGCTAAGGCAGGCTACAGTGAGTCAAGTGAGTCCAATCTGAATTACAATGGATCCTTATTTTTATCAGAAGATTTAAGGCCGAACCTTCCCTGGGCAACATGTACCCACTCCTCCCTCTCCACCATCTCACCCCAATGGCAACTGCAAGCCAAAAAAAGAACGGACGAGTTCAAACACTGGTGTTTTTGTTCCCAGTGTTAATAAAAATAGCAGCAGTATTTTGAAATTTACAGAGTTCAGAGGTCAGGGTCAGCCACAGAAAAGCAGCACGAAATCCAGCTGGAAGATGTTTATTGCATTGAGGCTTGTGTTGAAGGACAAGTAATTCAGTGACGCCAACTAGTTAGTGCTATTTAGTGCATGTTTTGCATCTGCTTTAAATCAAGCTTTCTCCAACCTGGTGGGGGAATAAATATGTATTCAGTGCTGTTTGACTGTTGTTGAAACAACACATTTCTATTTGTAATAGAAATTCACTTTTTGTTTATCTCCAACTCATCAGTCTTTCATTCCAGTTTTCAGTCACCCTGCAAGCTTATTTAAATAAACCCATTTGTCTTATGAAGAGAGTCATGCGTTGATTTGTCAGTAACAAGAAGGAGTCTTGTTCCTCAGAGTAACTGGACAACAGGTATAACAGGCTGTTCATTTTCGATTCTAAATGTTGCTTTAATTGAACAATTTATCACCTTGATCACTGTCAAATAACTGGGCAAGAAAGACAAAGGCAATGAAAATGCTAGGGATAAGCCGCTAGGCGCGGTCGAGTAAACGTGATCGTCATGTCTGTTACAGCAGTATCAGCGAGGTATTTTATTTAATTTTTTTAATCGATTTATTCATCTGTAAAAATTGCATATTGATGCATTTGTGAGTGGCAGCTGTAAGTAGTGGTAATGAATAGCAGAGGAGGAGGGGGCAATGAGAACATTACATCCCTGAAAACTTCTTTTATTGGACAAAACTTTTGATTTCTCCCCGGAGCTCCTCTCCATACACTTGGAAGAAAAGCTAATTGAATTGTGCCCTGGATATGATGCCCCCTTCCCCAAAGTAAAGGTCTTGGAGAAGTGTCCTCCTCAGAGTTTTGGAATTCATTTCATTTGCAATTATTACTTTCTGAGCTGTTTTCTTTTATTTCCCCTACTTCAACAGTAACTATTTTTTGGCAGGATCAAAGGGAACAAGAGAGGTAGATTCTAGATAGCTACAGGCCTGACACACTGACTGCACGCTGTTCAGCATTGTGTGTTTGAAGACGGTTCAGAAGGTGTCAACTGGCTGACTGCTTGATATAGATTTTGTGCTTTGGGCAATTGGATATTAACAGATTTTACAGAGGCAAAGCAAACAGAGCTTTTTTACTATTAGAGAATTTCCAGGTGTTGCATTGAAACTGACAACTAGCGAAACATTTTCAAATGTCAAAATCAGATTTCTGCCATTTACAAAAGTCACACATACGGTTATGAAATTAAATCACATAAATGCTTATTTTGGATGATGTACTGTAGCTATGATTGATCAACTTTGCTAAAATCAATTAACTTTTATCTCCTCAGTTTCTGTTATATTTCATTATTCAGTTATTTTATTTCATGCCATGGTCTAACCAAACAGTATAAAGCATTTAACAGTCGTAGCAAGACCAAAACATTAATCAACAAATGGACCACATTTGCTTTATGTACATGCCTAGCCCTTTGTTCAAGGCTTTCAGGCCTACAATTTCACAGTCGCCTACTGTTTTACCACCCTGTGGCCTCTTCATTTTATTCAAATCCAAATTAGGAGCATTTTGGTGGCATCAAGTGCTTTGCAATTAGTTGCATTGCACTTGACACAACAACACAGTTAATAACAGCTGCTCTGAAGTGTCTGTTATCGCAGGGAGAAAGAGAGAAATGTGCGTTCTGCAGAGGCGCTGTTGCACTCACAGCTAATTGTGTTTAGTCATTTTAATTTGCTGCGAGTGCTAAATCAGTGCTCTTCCAGTGACATGAGGTGCAATTAGTATGGCTGTAAAGGCAGGAGGCAGTGTGTTTTGTAAAGTGTCCCCTCCTCTCTTCTTTGATTTGTGGATTAGCCATCCCTTGTCATTCACATTTCTTTTATGCTGCATAAACAGGCTGGGGAAACACTCAGTGAAAGCAACACTTCTAAGAATAACATTCGTTTTGTACGTACCAGGAAGTTCATCCCAATTACAACATGGTTGCACATGTATAAAAATATCTAAGCTTTCGCTGTGTCTCATGATATGGCAGTTAGATGAAATGGCAAGACTAACAATGGTTTATGATGCTGTTCTGTCACATACTGTACTTTTAAGCCACGAGAACTTGGCACGGTGTCATTTGGAATACAGAAACTCATTTGCTTTAATAAAACTGCAACTGTTTGTAGCCTTGGTTTTCCATAATATTTGGTGACTTTATTTACTTGTGCAGCTGTTATGTACTGTTCATACACTGCTAAAGAATATCAGTGATACTCCATTAATGTCCCTCAGGGACTACAGTTGAAAGTTAACCTTTTGACACACTCCCATATTTTCAGAAATGCAAATACAGGCTTGTCAAATAAATGATTAAACAACAAACATGCATTAGAATTGTAGTTATGTGGTGAGCGGTGGTTGTTTTCAAGAGCAGTGATTGGCAACAATGAGAATAGGACTGACGTCTTTGCAGTGAAGTGAGTAGTATGAAACATAATTATTGCAGTCCTCAAGCCTGAAACATTCTTCTTTTGACAGAGCTTTTAAACACAGAATTTTGCTTTTACCAAACCTTAATATAGAGCAACAAAACAAGAAGCATTGAATAGACTGCATAATGCAAACTACTCTTTGTGCTTTTGGCATTTGTTCTGTTCCATGTTACATGCTAGTGCAGCCTTACAGTATGTTTTGCCCTGCTTCAGCTCCTCCTGGGTGGCTGTGGCTTACGAGGTAGGGCAGTCGTCTTCTAACCAGCAAGTTGGTGGTTCGACTCCCGGTCTCCCCGCATGCCTAAGTGTCCCTGAGCAAGACACTGAACCCCAAATTGCTCCCGGTGGTTCGACTGGCGCCAGTGTGCGGCAGCCTCTCGTCATCGGTGTGTGAATGTGTGTGTGAATGGGTGAATGGTGTATGATCTCCTGTAAAGCGCTTTGGCCAGTGTAACACACTGTGAGAAAGCGCTATATAAATACAGTCCATTTACCATTTTCCTCTATATTCATTTAGTGTATGGGATTGTACAGATACAGTACATGCTGTGTGTTTTTGAATTTGGAAAGCCGTCACCTTTAGACTTTTCAGTGTTAGCCTCTGCAGGTTGGAGTTACCCTCAAAAGTTCTGTTTACCTTCACAATCTGACTTTCTGCTTCAAGACAAAACTCAACTTGTGCTGTACATGATTATTGTGAATTTGACAAAGCAAGTAAATAATTTGTAACGAGAAGGTTTGTTTGTAGTTCAGTAGGGAATGCATGTTGCTAACTATTGCATGCATTAGTCAATCCCTTAAAGCCAGTGAGGCCTCCTATTTTGAATTTCGGTTCCCATCACTGGAAGGCGCTTAGCATAACAATAGCAGAACTTTTAACTGTTTGTCAAGACATAAATAGCTATCACTCAAAGACGAAACCCAACCAGTTGCAGTCATCACAATTTAATGATTCTCATCATCAAGGTTTAACTTCCGGTCTGTCACTCCACAGTCCTACATTTTTGCCATGGCCATAGGGGGAGAAACATGAGACTGGTGGCTGGCAGAGGAAGTACTGACCTCTCAATCAGACAGCCCTGCTGGATGCAATGGGTCTGAAAATTGACAGTCCTGTCCTCAGCAGACCTTGTTGGCGGTGAGATATGGCCATGACCCTACTGGCAGCAACCAAAATTTCTATTTACACACCAACTCCCCTGAACTCAAAAGGTCAGTGCTCCAAACTAAGCCCAGATGAAGCAGGCTGAGAGGTAGGGGCTAGATAAGATGAGGCCTTGATAAGGTGTATGAAGTCAGCAGGGCTGGCTGAGTCCACCTTTCATCTTGGCTGACTGTCAGGCTCCTCCAGCACTGGCTAGTCTTGGTTTTTCTTCATCTCTGCGTCTCCTTCACAAAATTTCTTTCTCTTGCACCACACTTTCTCTGCTTTGTTTGTTTTTCTTTCTCTGTTCCTCTTTTCTTCACCTAGCTTTAAACTAATTTGCATATGGATCCTGATTGGAGCCAAATGTTCTTTTTTTTTTAGGTGG